GCTCCCAGTCCCTCTAGGGCTTTATCCCATGGCACACTACTAAGGAGGTTCCTGAAGAGGTGAAAGTCAGCTCTTCTGAAATCAAGGGTTTCAAGCTTGCTGAGCTTCCCTCTCTTAGCTGCCCTTAGGATCTCAAACTCCATCATCTCATGGTCACTGCAGCCAAGGCTACCCACAAGTTTAACATCACCCACCAGCCCTTTCCTATTGATGAGAGCGAGGTCTAACATGGCACCTCTCCTCTTGGTTCCTCTATCACTTGGAAGAGGAAGTTGTCCTCAATGCATTCCATGAATCTCCTGGATTGCCTGTTCCCTGCCATGTTGTTTTTCCAACCGATGTCGTGGTGATTAAAATCCCCCATGAGGACCAGGGCTTGTGAACGAGCAGCAACTCCTATCTGCCTATGGAGGGCCTCATCCACTTGGTCCCCCTGATTGGGTGGTCTGTAGCACACCCCCACCGTAAAGTCTCTGACAAAACATATACGCAGAGGGGAAAATCCTAGTTCTATGAAAAATGGGGTTAGTGCCCTCATTCTAAATCCTCGTTTATCTCATCAGAAAGATAATATGAAAGAACAACATCTCCCACGTGACCCAGCTACTGAACTCTGACCAGCAGCAGAAGAGCAAAAGGAGTCCAGGTCTCTCATGAAATTCAGCAGCTGCACTTCATAAAGGAGCTGACTTCACAGCAGCTGCTGCTCTTCACCACAGCACAAATGTGTTTGTGAGTACAATTTGCAAGTGATTCAGGTCTTTTGCAGGGCAAAAGGGGAGAACAAACAGAATACACTCTCACAAGGAGGCACGTTTAATAAAACATGTAAAGCTGGGAGCAAATGTGTAAATCTGAATCATCAGAAGCAGACTTCAGTAACTTCGGTGGGGAAAAATAGCCTGCATATTAAATACAGTGGAGCAAATGAAATTTCCAAGCTTCTGGAAGTCTACTTTCCATCACAGAAATGGTTAAGTGTTAAATAATTTTTAAAGATGCAAGGTTCAAGGACATGCCACTTTCTTCAATGCTGTGTCCTGCAACAGTGCTGGAAAGACAGCCCATACGCTGCCTCAGGTTCAGCAAACTGAAGAAGTCTGCCTCAGGATGATGAGTACACACGTGCACTTCCAAACAGTTTTTAAAATTGATTCCATCATACAAAGCTGGCAACCAAACCGTGGACTGTACCTAACGTCAATATTCCCCAAAAAGGTGTTGGTGCACCAATGGACACCAAATGATTAAATTGCATGAGTTATTCAACTGGATACTAAGAAAAAATTGATATTAGGAAAAATATTTTTACTGAAAAAGCAGTGAGACATTCGAACAGTGGAGGAAACAGTGGAGTCACCATCCCTGGAGGTGTTCACAAAATGTGTAGATGTGGCATTTCAGGACACAATTTAGTGGTCATGGTGGTGTTGGGTTGATGGTTGGACTCGACAATCTTTAAGGTCTTTTCCAATCTTAATGATTCTATGATTCTATGCTTAAAATTACCATTAAAACTTGAACAAAAAACAACCACCACCATCTAAACTATTTTGTTAATGTCCAGAATTACTATTTTATCCTAAAACTTGTAACACTCCTCACAATCAGCTTCTTTGGCACTAAACAAAATGAAACGAAGCGTTTCGATAATAATCTGCCTGATCACTCTAGTCTTCCTGTGTGTGTTTATTGTCTTCCTTCATACCACTCATATCTCGAAACATAAATAAACAAGGAGCTCCTGTAGTCACAGCAGCAATTGTTCTTCCCCACTGAGGGAGGTCTAACATGTAATGGCTTACTGGTGTTATAGCATCATATTTTATTTTCTTTTCAAAGAAATTCCCACTGCCACTTAAAATCTACAGGTCATAAACTAATTCCACAATACACATCAATGATGTGGTATTTGCCTAATAATGAGAGTAAATAACTGGAAAAGCCCACACACGCATTTCTCAAATATTTTATATAACAGAAAACAGTCCAAGGCAGAAAAAACAAAATTAAAAAAAAAAACACAAAAAAACCTTCACCACTCTCCAAAGATTGTTTGCCCTTTAGGAATGTCTTGGGAAAGCAGCAAGCTCAAGGAAATTACTGAGAACTCATAGCCTTGCTTTGTCACACAGAACCCAAGAAATCAAGTACCACCCGCAGTGGCCTGCCCAGACCCTGGCCTGTTCTCCCCAACACCCCTTGCTCACACTGGTCACTCCTCAGGCGGCGCAGACCCTACAACATCCTTCAAAGAAGTACAGGCCCTCACGGTATCAGAGCATTTAACCTACGCCTTGTATCGTTTGTCACCTAAATACAGGAAATCTGAGACGTACTGAAGAAAATGTGAACGAGCAGGGAAAGAAGAGAGACACTTAAAGGAAATACCTGCACAGTCCCTAGACATCCCAAAGGCTTCTTTTCAAGGCCAAGAACAGAAAGTCTCTCCTCTAACTCTAAACACAAAAGAGACCCTCCCTACACTAAATGTATATTGAGGACTTGCTAAAAACAAAATAAGAAAAGCCCTATAAGTGCTTGCTAGTGCTGCCCTAAGGCAAGTTGTCTTCCTTCTTCATCACATCTGGAATGATGGCTAGCAGGTTAAGCCCAAGTGTCTCTTCTTAAAAAAAACCCCACAACACAACCCACCCCAAAAAACCATCCACACTAAAACATAAATATTCAAGCTTTCTATGAAGACATCTATTCAGTATTCTCAGTTTTGGGGAGTGCAGGCACCAGTGACCACTAAGGACAGAAGAATTTCATACATAGAAATAGGAGATAGAGGAAAGAAAAGTCATTTTTATGTGGTTTAATTTTGCCAAGCTACTTATTTGCTTAGAGATCTTAAAAAAAAAACCAAAAAACAAAAACCGAAAAAAGTTCTGCTACCCATCTCATTTCTGTATGCAAAGGAGACTGGAGATTCTTATTCTAAAAACAGTTACACAGGCATATGACCACGCTCTTCAGAGAAAAAAAAAAAGTAAGCATTATAGCTTGTAATGAATGAAGTAAGAACGTGCAACTGCCTTGATTTAAATTCTCAAAGGAGCAGTAGAAACTTCTGAGCTTCAATCAGCAAAAGGTCATCAGTCAGGTCACAAATGTGGAAAATAGAGACCACAACCAAAGAGCTTTGCTCAAGGAATTAGTGGCCTTTTTAATAAAGGGATTTTAAGTGCATCAGATATAACCTCAATATCTTTTGAACATCAAGCGTATGCAAAAGGCCTGTCCTGACACGGGAAAGGTGACAGATTATCACTGTTTTGGCCAGGAATTGGTGATGAGGTGGTAGTTTTACCTTTTTCTTGAAAAATAATTGCAAGTCATTGAAAAAAATGAAGTCTAGTCTTCTGAAGACTCAACTTTGCCTTCTGAAATGAAGTTTGTTCTCAGATTAGTCTACAACGTCAGCAAGATGTCCTGTTCGTCTTACCAGGATCACATTTATATGGGTCAGGACAGAAGCCTGCTAAAGGAACCCAAACTGTCAAAGTTCAAAAGAGCTCATGACAGTAAACTGCTAAAAATGTGTTCACATTCAGGTAATTCATATGAGATGTCCCCTAGGTTCGTTGTAAATAAGAAATGCCAAGTAACTGTTAATTGGCCACTGTAGTACCTTCACATTCCTATTTGCAACACAGCACAGACATTATTTTTACTCAAAAAAGTGTACAGTCTAAATTTTTTAATTATCAATAAGGTTCAAAGTTATGGGACACCAGGAAAAGTCATATATATCTTGGACGTACACATTCACACCTCACGTGTTTAAAAAATAAGGGTTTTTTTAATAGATATTACATACAGGCATGCAGGCATGCAAGTTATATTTTCAGGAAGCTTACAGAAAACACATTTTAATAGAATACTTATTTCTTAACAATTAATCTCTCCTTTGGCTGTCCCACTGTCTGAAAATGGTCTACTGTGTAAGGAAATATAATGAAACAGAAGGTTTACACTGATACAATAGATTTGCTCAGGTACATGGTTTAGAACTGGACCTGGAACAGTTAGATAATGGTTGGACTTGATGATTTTGAAAGTCTTTTTCAACCATAATGATTCTATGATTTCAAGTGCTGCAGAATTTGCAGCTCTCTTGAAATAGGAGAATCCACATCACACCTTGCCTTCAGAAATTCGTCGTAACACTGACACACAAAAAGCAGAAAAGCAAAAAAAGGGCAAAGGCAAAAGTTGTTGTCTCTATAGCTATATGTACAGAGATACCTACAGCCATATGAAAAACATCAAAATAAAATCAGCCTTACTGAGCCCAGGAACATCTAAACTTTGTATGACTTGTACCTGTCAGGGGTGCCTTAGAGGTGACAGCGCACAACAAATGAACCATCTTCTAACTTGGAAGGCACACCAGGTAACGAAGTAGCACTTATACTGGGTGAAGTAGCACAAAGTGAAAGTGCTGAGAAGCACAGTTCTAAACATCAGTCAATACCCGTAACAGCAGAAACTGTGCTAAGTTGCAGCGACCGATATTTGTCAATTTGCTGCATCTGCATTAAACCAACATGTGATTAGGATGCCTCACATATGCACTCTTCCAGGCTTTTTAGTCCTTTGCCTAGCACTTTACAGAACACTTCATAAATCAATCAAACTATACTTCGTCATAGAACAAGACTTGGTTGGGTAGGTTTTTTCAGAAAAATATTGTATTCATCAAACATTTCCAATGCACTTGAAGTTTAAATTATTACATTGGAAAGTTAAGTTCACTGAAAGGAAGAACAAATTTAACAGAGATGAAAATGTCAACTTATACTTGTCACAGGTGTTTGGATTTGGGAGGAGAGAGGGGTGAGCTTTTTTAGTAATAAAGTTCCTCTTGATGAACGATATTCAGGAACGGAAATCCTTATCCATCTTCAGAAAAGTTCACACTCATAAAACTAATGGCTTACTTTAACTGCAAAAGCAGCTATAACCATAAACAGCTAGATAAATGTTTCTTTTCAAAGCAGGTTAAAAACATTGCTTTGCAAACAATGTTACCTGATTTTCTGGCCAGCGCTGGATGGTGAAGAAGGAACAGATTCAGAAGATGAAAGTGGATGTGGCTTTGAAATAGGAGAAAGCACCTGGTCAACACTCTGCTGTGAAGAGGCAAGGTACGAGCCACTGTTGTCTGCAGAATAAAAATCCCACAATTTGTATTAGTCAGTTACTTGTCTTAACATTTCTCAGACAGGGCTGGATTTTACAACACAGGCATAATTGGACTGTGCATGCACCACCACTATAGAACAACTACCATCCAGATCTTAACACTAACTTTCTTGTACTGTTTTGTTTCAGATTTGTGGTATTTTGGTTTTTTCCCCCTCTCTGTATGGGAATTCTATTCTAGGAGTATTCACCATCACAAATTTACACCCCATAAACTTACACACAACACGTCCACGCTCCCCACAGACTGCAGCCCCTCTGCCAAACAGCAAACAATTTCTGCCCTGTAGAGCATTAGAGGAAGCAGTTACACAGCCAGATTTCAAGCTAGAGATGTGCTTACTAGCCAGCAAAAGACAATGCTTGAGGTCTCCCAAAGGCCATTCTTCATTAGGAAACTTAATGTGGAGGTTTCATTTTCTAAAGATTTGTGAAAATTGGAGATGAACTGAAGATTTTCAAAGATTTTATCCTCTCACAAACAGCTATAAAGTTATCAGCGAAGGAAACAGACAGACAGTACGACTAGAGGAGTCCTGAGCTTCCTAAGGAACAAAGTTAAAACCCAGAATCCTTAAAAAGGTTTTTAATTCAACTTGTGAAATCCAGTGCTTTGTTTAAATTTTGCTTTACAATCTTAATTTTCCTTTCCTGTGCAGCTGCACAGGTCTTTAATCATTGGACTATGAATTATTATTTTTCCACAAGCTACGATATTCACTCAGTAAGCAGGTACTGGATTCTTTTCCCTGCACATTATTGACCTAATACCTTTTACCGTAGTCAATGCTAATTTGGCTCAAGAGATAGATGAAATGCCATTATTAACATTCCCATACCTGAAGTTTTTTCAGGTGGTTGTAGAGAAATGCATCCTGTTCATAGCGCACGTCACACTGCAGAATGTACCAGATTAGGGGTTAACTGTGGATTTTTATCTCCTGACAGCCCCTATGTCCACACAGCACAGAGAAAGAGCCTCTAAGGAAGTTGAGCACTAGAGGACTCAGCATTTATGTCATACTCATGTAACAGCAGTACCTGGTGGTGGTAGGAACCCTCATCTCACCCACCACATCCAATCTTTTATAAAAAGCTTGTCAAATTTTCACACGCAGAACAAAAGGACACACACAGCCCATAACACTTACTGCACATACCTCCCCAGCGTAAGACACACTGCGTGTCAGGACACAGGCAGCACACCAGCCATCTCACACGGGAATTTACTACAACCTACTATCAGGTAGAAATTACCTAGGATTGAACTTAAGTGATCCTCTCCTAAAAGAAAAAATGGCTGAGGTCTTTGGCTTACAGTATGCTGTCTGCAAGACCCACTAATATTGCTCTTTCTCATCAGAAGATACGAAGTTTGGTCAAGTAATGATCAAGGTGAAAAGTACTGATGAAGTAACAGGGAGCATGGGTCCAACAGCAATCAGAATTTTTTTCTCAGTAACTAGTTCTTGATTCATGTTACTGCACAGAGATTGGAGACAGTAAGCGGTGGAAAACAGAAAAGGATCCTGTCCTACTTTTAGTTGCTCAAAGAAATGGGCTTACTCCTTCCCATTAGAAAGCCAAAGTCTGAAAGATGCTCAACATGCATGGGCTTGGGAAGGAAACAGTCAAATACATGAGCTAATTTAAAGGAAGAGAGAAAACCACATACCCTCCCACTGACGGATTATGCAGTAAAAAAAGCTGTTAGATCTGCCAACTGTAAGTATTCTGCAGGAGGACGCGCTTCTTCCTTTCATCCTTCAAAGACATGTGCTGACAACTGAGCTGCAGTTATCACTGAGGTATGCGCCATTTGAAGGAAAAACAAATCTAAAGACTCATGTCCATGGTATCTTTTACCTCTTAAAATTCATTCTGAGCTCTTCAGACTCACGTTTTCAACAGTTCTGAAAAGCTCCATGGAAGCTTCCAGAAGCTGCAAAAGCATGTCTGGTGCTTCAGCCATCTCTAGCACAAAAGAGAACATACATACCAATATAAAAGCACTCTTTCTCAGATGACTCTTGAAATAGAGATGCCGTATCAGTGGGGAAGCAGGCTAACTGGAAGCAGATAAATCACTCTACAGCACTTTAACACTGAAGCTACCATGCTTACTGGGGCAAGTGTCACATCAGCTCACTTTGAGAATGTATCATCTAGCTGCAACCTGGTTTCCTACAGTACATATCACTTAATTTCTGTAATACCTAAGGCAGGTAATGCCCTCCTTTGTTATTCAACTCTTATCCCTCTCTAGAACAAGTCAGTCTCGTGCATTATGCAAGAGGTTCAATGGAAAAAAAAGAGCCACCATGGACCCAGCTTCTGACAGGTACAAAGACTAGAAGGATTGTTAAGGTTATGCAGGCAGCTTTAATTTTTACATTTCCTAATTTCAGAAGCAAAACCTACTCTTGTGAAAGATTTTGTGTGTGTGCAGTATTAAACAAATGGTCTGTAAACACCTCATACAGAAGGTGACAGAGGAAACTTGTAACGTAAAAGACTTCTTTGGAAGATCAATTTTTCAAATGTTTTCAGTAACAGAGCATCATATTCTACACACAGAAACACAGGGACAGCCACGAGAGATCAAACTCTTTGTAACCTGTTTCTCACAGTGACCATTACTAAACAAAACCGAACTAAAATTCATAAAGAAGAATACTTACATCTTACTTCTGGCAACACCCACCCCAATCTTTCATCAATCAATACTTTTTTGGGTCCTCCTGACAGGGAAGCTTTATTCTTGTATCTGTATTTGTGGCCACAGAAGCAATAAATTCCACAACTCACTCTTGGTATGAAACAGTAATTCCTTCTCTTTCCTTTCAATTTCACAGAATTCTGGGGTATCTGAAGCAGTGATTAATGGATTCCTTTACACCTTTTACAGATCACCCAACTGCTTTCCATACTTCCCACAGCCCACCTCAGCCAGCTCTTTTCCAAACTAAGCTGCCCTTCTTGTATTTCACATTCCTTCATGAAGAAGCTGATCATTATCTTTTCTATGTTACCATCTCTTTTTCATCTTATTAAATCCACCTTGAGCTAGGGTGACAAGAATCACATGACTCAAGGAGCAGATGCACTGCAGATTTGAAAAAACATAATGTTTTTAAATTTTTCAATTCTTTTCTATCTTGCTTGCTTTTCTGAGTACTAGCTCTTAAAAAAAAGACCAAACAAAAACAGCCCATAGATGCTGTAAAATTAGTAGAAAATGACAATTTTCCACTCATGACCAAACACTAATCACCTCCCCCTCAAAACTGCTCTGATAAAGATGTCATAGCAAAAAGAACAAACAAAAGCAAATGTGGACCTTTCAGACTGGAAAACTCAATTTAAGAGAAGTCAGACAAAGCAGTTTTCTGCTGCACACGTTAACTGCAACAGCTAAGTGAAAGGACAGGAATTCAGAGAGGATTATTAAAATTAGGAAATGACAATGAACGCTGCAAAGCAGCTATACATTATAGCAACACTTGAATGAAATCCTGCATATCGTAAGGTTACATCTGGAGTGGATTATAGGGCATAATCTTCTCTTTAAAGCTATCTTAACTAAGTACGTTCAGCCATGCTCAAAGTACTGCTCCCTGCTTGTTTCTCCAAAGAAGCAATACTCCAAGCAGCTAGCGTATTTTTCCTCCAACTTCTCCAGCCTCTTAGCAAATAACAAGAGTCAGAGTATCACCACTAAATCTTTCTCTTCCCATTGCACAAGAGGAACAAGAAGCAAAACCCCAACGTTGCGAAACATTGACAATTGTGACCTACCATCTGAAATCTTCTTGTTACTGAGCTCTCTTTCCAGTTTGGAAACAGGAGTAGAAGAAAGGCGTCTTGAAGGTGCTCCTCTGAGCAGTGGCGGAGTTAAGGGATTTTGAAAGGCATCAACCTGCCCAGTTGTTTTGCCATATTTTTCACCTCTTGGACTGCTCAGGGGGGAATGCTGGGAGCTGGGATTATCCTCTAGAAGTTCATGCTGGGTAGTCAGGGGGAGTCTACTACCAGCACACTGAAGAAGTAAAGGAGACTGTGTCTTCCTCGGTGTTTTGCTTGTGGCCATGTCCTGCATGATTCTGTGTTGATAGCTCCTGTAGGCTTCTTCCAAATACTCTGCCTCTTGTTCCAGCTCCTTTATTCTAGCACGGGTTAGCGCCACGCACTCCAGGTCAGAATCCGGAGAAGCAGTGCGTGGCTGTAGCTGCTGACGACAGCCAACCCTTGGCATAGCATTCACCTTCATCACATCGGCCATAACCAGATTCTTGAGGAACGCGCTATCCACGTAAACATCGTGAGGTACGATTCGGTCACTGGTGAAGTCAAGGACAGAGCGATCGACAAGTGAAGGCTTTGGATTCCGATAGATTTCATTTTCCAGTGCTAAATGACAGCAAAAGACAGTGAGTGACAGCAGACTGAGAGAGGGAGACAATAATGAGACAGTAAAACATGGCATTTAAATCTAGTTTGATCACTGATCTAGTGAATAATATAAAGTATTGCATACACTGAACTATGGTGCAACACATGCTGCATGTAAGTACAAGCATTGCAGAACTCAATTCTATATTTTTAGATTAAATATACATGCCAAAACTTTTTACTTTATCATACTTGGTATTAGCAATTTGACAGACAGCCATATTTAGAACTACCTTTCTTTAGCAGACTAAATTGTTTTATGCAAATGCCTCTCTACCACCCATACAAGGTGCATAAGTTATCAGCCCTGACAACAACGGTTTAAAAGTTAGATTTAAATTAGCAAGGTATGTAATACAATTTCAAATTGATTATTCTTATTATGAACATTCGAGAATCAAAATGCATTAAAACACAACTTGCCTCCTGGAAAACAGTGACTATATTACCACCAACCATTAATGTCTTCACCATTAATGTCTTCACAGTGAAGAAAAACAGACAATAAAAACACATAAATATTCAGGGAGCAATGTTCTCCCTTTCTTCTGTATCTTTTTTTTCCCAAAGGGAAGTTGTAATGAGTCTGCATTTTAAACTGGGCATTTAAATGGCTTTTGATTTTAAAATTGAAATCTACTAACTGGTGGCATATTAATTCTATGCAACTGCAACTATTTGAAGCTTTGGGAAATTCTTACACCTGTTAAGTACATGAACTTCATAAAGGACTGCACTGGTGTAAGATACAAACCTGCCTGTGTTTGTTTCAGCCGCAGTTTCAGTTCTTCAACCTGCACATTCAACTTCCTGACAGTAGCTTCGGAGTCCAACAGCTGGGTCTTCAACTGGGCACAACGCTCAACCTACAGGAGATCAAAAAAGAAACCAAAATCAGCACAATTAAAAAAAAAAAAAAGAGTAGTCTCAGCCAGTTGAATGCTTGTTTCTAAATATTTTCTAGGTCCAGTCAAATCATGGGTACCTAGTATCCTACTCAAAGTCAGAACTGACAACTTAATGACCTGGAAAGATTTACTTTGGTTATTTTGGGTTGGGGGGTTTTTTGGTTGTTTTTTTCAGTGTTGTGTTCTTTTCTTTAGAGTTGGTTAGAGCAAAATACGCAGGGTACAATCCCCGTAACTATGCACTAAATAGCCTGCAAAGGTACACAGATAAACATGAACAAGAGAGAAAGAAGAAGGGATTCAGATTATTCAGAATTTACCTCACTTTGTAGTTGCTTTTCCAAAATCTGCCTATGACTTTCAAATTCATCCAGTGCCAGCTTCCTACAATGTTCCACTCTTCTCAGCTCCACTTGGCAGGCCAGGTGCTCTGCTGAGGGCTGGGACAGCTCTACCCAGAAAGAGAAATACTGGACACTCAGCCACAGAGTAGCAAGAGTGCACTTTACTGTGTAATATCCCTTAAAATGCAAAGCTGCTTTGTTTTTAGGAAAGTACTCAGGGATTTTTTTTCTTCCTTTTGCAAAGGACTGAAATTTTTGTTGGCATAGTCATCTAAGAACTAGGCTCAGCCTGCCCTATTCTGGAAGAAGAATACGTATCCTTACTTTACATAACTGGGTGTACATCTCCACTCTCCCGTAAACTCAAATGCACATTAAAGCACTTGGCATTTTATAATTATAGTCAATCGAGTTCTTAAAAATAATAATGCAGTGTTCTTTTACTGTTATTAACCATACTGCACTGCTTTTTTCCAAGAATGAAAAGGATATTCTTCATATTATTATAGCTACCACTTAATTGTACTATAGAAGGATTTTCTATTTTTTTCTACCATAATAGGATTTCTACTATACAGACATATTAGGGAAAATAAACCTACAATATCAAGTACTGCTCTACTTTACACAAATGTTAGTTGATGTATAATGCAAACTGCTAGTAAACATAATCCATGTATTTTAATAAAAATTTATTTCTAA